AGCCCAGCATGGATCAGCTAGAAGTGGACAGATAAGCCAGCATTGAGCATGGGCAGGCCCACAGCCCCACTGAATCACCCTGGTGTGGGTGACCATGCCATCTGAGGCAAGAGGGTGACAGCCCCGAATGGCCCTGCCTGAGCAGCCAGGGTTCTTAGAGGCACCTCCATAGCCGCCTGTGCGGGGACCCTGCAGGTGCGGGGACCCTGCAGGTGCGGGGACAGAGGGCCTGCCCCACGTCCACCACCTTCCCTGGGTCTGGCTAGTAGGACACCTGTGCCTCTAGAGAGATACCAGGAGTCTGCCCAGGTCAGCCTTCACCTGTCCTGGCTGAACTGATTGGAAAGGAGGAGGTGGGCGCAGCCCTGGCTGGCCTCTAGAGCGTGGTCGTGGGGCCTGGGCCACACGTGGGCATCCCTGCATCCTACGAACCTCTGTTTTCCGTGACACAGCTGGTCCGGTGGCCGTCGCACCTCTGGAGTCTTGAGTCGGTTGTGTTGCCCACAGTGGGTTTGCCTGTTTGAGGCCCAAACTCCCAGATTGTGGTCTGAGAGGGGAGAGAACCGTTCTATTTAAAGGGCTGTGTAATTAACAAAGCAAAGACAAAATAACCATGGTTTAGATCTTCAAAAAGGATAATAGCAGAGGCTGGGCCATGGCTCAGCGTGTCGGGGGGTGCAGGCACGGAGCCCACTCTCATCCTTTCCCAGCTGAAGGCAGTCCAGACTGCAGAGCAGACACTGCCTCTCCTCAGGATAAGGACCAGCCAGGGGTGGAAAAAGGAGTGTGGGAACCCCGAGGCTGCAGGTCCTCCGTGTCAGGACCTGGCCCTCCCCAGGGGAGAAGGTGGCAGCTTGATCTGTGGCCACCATCCTTGGTCAGCGTGTTCAGCCCTGGTGTGGACAGAGCAGCCAAGCCCCTCCTGCGCCAAGCGCCCCAGTGCTCCACAGAGTGCTGGGCGGGACCCTTGGCCTGTGCATGCCGGGCGAGATGGGACCTGCTGCTCACAGACACCCCTTGTTGATCTGAATCAAAGCTCTGGGCTCCTCCCCCAGGAAAATTGAGGTCCTGGGATTTGTGGGTCCCAGAAGCCTGCCAAAGATGTACCCAGAACACAGTTTACCTTAGTCCATTTTCTCTTGCTTTAACTGGACACCCGAGGTTAGTTAATGGACAGATTCGGGAGTCGGGGGGATTCAGCTCATGGTCCTGGGGGCTGGTGAGTCCAAGAGGGAGAGGCCTGGCATCTGGTGAGGCACGTGGCGAGGAGACAGAGCGGGGCTGCCAGCCCACATTCCTCCCAAAGCTGCCAGAGCCGTCCTGGGGCTGCCGTCCAGAGCTCATCGGGCTCCGTGGCCTCCAGAAGGCCGGCTTGGCTGGAACCAAGAGTAACAGATTATTCTGGAGAGTAGGGTTGACTCTGGGGGCAGACATGGCACATCGAAGCCACGGCGACAGTCCTCACGGGGCACTGTGTCTAGCCCTTCCATCTCCAGCTGTCAGCGGCTCTGGGCCCCACAGTGTCTGGGTCCAGGCCTTCCAGATCAGGGGAACCATTGTCTGGTACTGCCAGACGCCAGCCCGAGTGTCATTGAGGGCCTTGCTGGCTCCCCTGACACAGGCCAGCATGCCATCGCGTTCTGAGCTGGCTCCTTGCAAGAATCGCTGCTCCCCGTGGTGACAGGAAGGCCCAGCCTCATGTTCTCACTCATGAGCTGGGCCACTGGGGACTGCCGAGGTGGTTGAGAGACATGGGAAAGCCACACCAGCCATCCGAAGAGGAGCCACAGCAGCTTCAGATTGTTCTGGAACACCCTCCCCCACTCTGAGTCACCAGCTTGCTTTGGAGAAGAGACACGGTTTCCAATCACTTCTGTTTTCTCGGATTACAGGGCTGTTCAGCCCCGGGTGACTAAGTGGGAGCGTTCTGTGGGTCTCGAATGCTTTCAGCTGGGAGTTTCTATAGTGCTGTTGCCATAGCACCCAGCTAAGCAGAGAGCCTCCCGGCAGCGTGGGGAGGGTGGGGACAGCGGGCCCTGGGCCTGAGGTGGGGGGGACGGGGACAGGCTCAGGCACAGTACCATTTTGAATGGCCTATTGTAGGGCCATCCACAGCACGGGCCAAGCGGCGTTCTGTCCTCTGTGCGTTTCCAGAAAGCTCCAACGCTCCCACCTTGGGGTGCCCCATCCGCCCGCTGTTTGGAGCAGCCTGGAGCCCTGCTGAGGTGGCTGCTGTCTCCTCCCTGTCCTCCTTCTGCCCCTCTCACAAGGCGATGCTCCTTGCTTGGCCTAGATTTCCAGGGTCTGCCTGGCGAAGTTGTGGTCTCCCTCCCTGAGGAGGTGGTGGCCTGGAAAGGAGGTCAGGCACGTTGGCTGTCATTCCTAGACAGAAGTGGCAGCCACATGTCACTAGCTGTGGCCTGAGGGCCTGTCCAAGCTCAGTACCTAGACAGAAACTGCCACTCCCAGGGTCCGTGCAGCCCCCACACGGGCTGACATCCAGGTGGGCATGTGGCTTAAGCCTGACCACAGGGTTCAGGCACCTTGTCCCATCCCGTGTCTTGTCTCTCCCCAGCCCTCCTGGGGGCTCCTGTGGTGACCTCTGGGGCTGCCAGTTGATTTGGGGGTACATGAGTAAGTAGAAATAATACAAATAAAAAACCACCCCAGCCAACACCGGTTGCTGCCAGACCCTGCTAATGAAGCCAGAGCCCCGTGCCACACTGCACTCCAGGGAGCAGAGGCCTCCACGTGACGGCGGCCACAGCCTACAAACCCAGAAACGCTGTGGGTGGGCGGCTGGCAGCCTCTGGGCCTGTGTAGAAGGTGCCATTCTCAGGGAGGGAGGACCCAGGGGGCCCTGCGGCCTGGTTTACGCTGCTGTCCTGGGTGACATCTTTCTCTGAAGTCCTTCAGATAATAACCTGCACAGAAGCTATTGAGGTGATGCCCCTGCTCCTCTCAGCACTCAGTGCCCCTTGCAAGTGGTCAGGTCTGCTGCTGAGCCCCTCAGGCCTTGGGCTGGACATAGAATGACCACCAAGCCCCCTGAGCCTGGCAATAGCTGGAGAAATCTACATCTCTGGTGAGCCTTGTCTCCTTCCCAGCTGCCCTGCTCTAAGCCCAGCCTCTCCTTGTGCCCCTGTGTGTAAGGGCAGGACCAGGGAAGAGCCCTGGTCTTCAGAGTCCTCAGACGGAGCGAGAGGGACTCCAGGCTGCTGTGGGCCCCATACTGGGTATGGGCAGGTGCATGGGTTTCTCTCCAGGCCCCCTTGGGCATCTCCTCTTTCTTCCTGAGCACACCTGGCCTCACCCAGGCCCGTTCTACCTTGAGGCTCGGGAAAAGGAGTCCCTAGGGTCCCCTGGCTGAGCTCTCGTGGGTGCTGCACCCACACTTCTCAGAGAAGCTTCAGTGTGCAGGGGAGGCTCTGGAGCGGGAGGCGGCCCTGACAGGAGCATATTGTGTAACCAGAGGAAAAGTACTCAGTGTGTGGAGGAGAGGGAGGAGGCGGAGGCAGCAGCCTCCACCACCATGACCCACGAAGCTGGATGGCTGGATGGTGCCCAGGCTGCCCCCAGGCCTTTCACTGGTCTCCTGAACCGCCGTCTCTTGCTTCCTAGGCTCGTCCTGGCCCCTCACACAGGCCCCGCGTCTGGGCTGTGATTTGGGGTGGGGGCAGCAAGCCAGCTATTTTGAGGCCCATTTCAGTTGCTCCTCGGGGGGGGGGGGAGGACGGGGTTTCGTGTGAAGGGGTGGGAGTCTGCAGGGCAGAAATGTTCTGTGCCAGCCCTGACCTTGGGGCACACTTAACACTGGCTGGCAGCAGAGCTGTTGCACTGGTAGCTCTGGTAGAGACAGGCCTACACCCACCTGGTTCTCCCCCCCCCCATCCTTCCAGCTGAGCTCTGCGTGGGGAGGGACCCAGGGAACAGCCTGCTCTGGCCCCCTCTGCCGCCCACGGCTCCGCCACCCACCCACGCTGAGTCAGCTCTGAGGCAGCTGTGAGTCAGCCCTGGCAGCGGCGCCTGCCCCCTGCCGGAGGACGGCCTTCTTAGGAAGCGGTGCTGCAGAAGCTGCTCCTGGACGGAGACACAGCCCTGGGCGCTCTGTTCTGCCCTGGGCGGTGGGGCCCCACCAGACCACCCTGCACCTCCTCGGCCGAGTGCATGCCGGGGCTCTGCAGACGTCACTGCCACCCACAGGCTTGCTGGCACTTTGTTCTCGGATCCTCATTTGCGTCCCAGCCCAGGTGATCCAGTCACCCTGACAGAGGACAGATTGGACTTCCCGTTAACTGACAAGGTGGTTGGCAAGTGTTGGCATGGGAACTACGGGAAACCCGAGGTCTGTTAGCCACTCAGTACAGGTGCCACAGACCTCAGGTGCATCATCTCCCAGCCAGGTCACCGAGCAGAGAAGTCTTGAGGGAACAGGCAAAGCCCACCCTACAGGCCACACTGACCTCATGGCTCTTCCTTACAACTCCTCCTCTCCTGGGGTTTTCTGTCTCACGTGTCACAAAGGTGTGGCCAGTTGTCCAGTGGCCTCTTAGTGTGAATTGTTTGAACTGACTTTTTTGTTTTGTCAGTCACAGGGCTTGAACTCTTGGGCCTGGGCACTGTCCCTGAGCTCTTCAGCTCAAGGCAAGCACTCTACCACTTGAGACACAACACCACTTTTGGTTTTCTGGTGGTTCATTAGAGATAAGTATCTCACAGACTTTCCTGCCTGGGCTGGCTTTGCACCTCAATCCTCAGATCTCACCCTCCTGAGTAAGATTACAGGCATGAGCCACCAGCGTGCAGCTGCACTGACTTTAAAGACTAGTGTTTGGTGAAGTTTTGACACCATCCCTCCGCTTGCTAGGCAGGCATTCTACTGTTTGAGCCACTGTTAGCCCTTGGTCTGATTTCTTCTTTGCCTGGGCCTAGACTGTGGTCCACTTGTTTGATGACAGACACACTCCATCTCCAGCTTTCTCCTTTCTCTTTCCCCATAGTACATTGACGCCATCAGCAACAAGCAGGGTGAGCTGGAGAGCTACGTATCTGATGGCTACAAGACAGCCCTCACCGAAGAGCGCCGAAGGTTCTGCTTCCTGGTGGAGAAGCAATGCGCCGTGGCCAAGAACTCTGCTGCCTACCACACCAAGGTGAGCAGCGCACGGTGCAGCTTCACACACTGCACACACTAGTGTTCTCTGGAGTATGCCAGGGTAGCGTTTGGTCTCTGTCTAACAGTGCAGTAATACCAAGATGCGCTCACTGTTGTAGAGAGAATCCCAGGAGGAAGTGTGCAGACACTCCTTTATGCCAGTTGCTGGGGCTTGAACTCACAGCCTCTGGTCTCACTTAGCCTTGTTACCCAAGGCTGGAGCTCTATCACTTGAGCTGTGCTTCTAGTTCTAAGCTTTTTGCTGATTAGTTGGAGGCAAAAGTCTCAAGGATTTGTTTCAACTGGCTTTGTACCTCCATCTTGAGTGCTGAGCCTCCTGAGTAGCTAGAAATTAGTCATGAGCCACTGGTTCCCAGCTTTGTAACGTCTTTTTTTTTTTTTTTAACTCTATTGCTTGGCCTTTCCTCCTATTTTCCCTTCCCTAAGTTTTTGTTTTTGATACTAGTACTGGGGCTTGAACTCAGGCTTGCATTCTTGTTTGCCTTTTTCACTTAAAGTTGGTGCTGTACCACTTGAGCCACATCTCTACTTCTGCCTTTTTGTTAATTGGAGATATGAGTCTCAGATTTGTCTGCCCAGGCTGGCTTCAAACATGGGTCCTTAGATCTCAATCTCCTGAGTAGCTAGGATTATGGGTGTGAGCCACTAGCACCCAGCCTCTCTCTCTTTTTTTTTTTTTTTTTTTGGTCGTGGGGCTTGAACTCTGGGCCTGGGCACTGTCCCTGAGCTCTTCAGCTCAAGGCTAGTGCTCTACCACTTGAGCACACTTCTAGGTTTCTGGTGGTTTATTGGAGATAAAGAGTCTAATGAATTTTTCTGCCTGGGCTGGCTTTGAACCGCAATCCTCAGATCTCAGCCTCCGGAGAAGCTAGGATTACAAGTGTGAGTCACAGGTGTCTGGCCTCCCCTACTTTTAAAGTGAAGATGTGCCTTAGGGACCAGCATGGGACACTGAGGCACATATTCCCACAAATGTAATCTGGTCCCTCTGGTCTGGGGCATCACGGAGACAAACATCCCTTTTCCCCCAGAGGCTTCTCCACTTGCCTAGGCCTGCTCTGGCTGTGGGCAGGTGCAGATCAAGGGCAGGACGGCATCTGTGTTCTTGGTGTGGGAGGGTCCTCCGGCCATGCCTCTCCTCCGGCTGAGCCCCTGCAGTCCCCACAGGGAGGGTTCCTGGTATCCAGGCATCCGCCCCAGCTTGAGGAGCATGACAGGACTCCCGCCTGCGTCCTCCATGCCTGGACTCCACTGCACAGGCCGTGTGGGGAGGCCAGATGCAGGTCCTCTGCGCCCTCTAGTGGGGACCAGGCCCGTGTCAGGTCCTGATTGGCTGCTGTAAAGCAGCCCTTACAGTCCTCTCCGCATAATGCCATCAGAGCAAGGGCTGCCTAGCCCATGGCTGGGGCCTTGCACAGCTGCTGCCAGTCCCTGAGTTCCTGCAGCAGACACAGGACCCCTAACGCCAACCTCAGCTCCATGTCCACTCTATGTTCATGCACTTGGCGCTGTGTTGGGCATGCCCCCACCGTGTGCCCCAGACGCCCCAGGGTAGGCTGGGAAGAAGCAGTGAGCCCTTCTTGTTTCCCGCTGGGGCCACCTTTCTGCAGCTCTGGCAGCTGGGCTATTTCTCCTTCCTCCAAGCCACTGAGGTCCCCTTCACCCTGGCGTCGTCCTGACTGCACAGCTTCACCGGTACACAGGGCCCTTTTCCACAGCCACGCTTGCATGGCTTGGGCTCCCAGGTGCCCCGCCTCACTGTGGGGTGGCAGAGTGGAGCACCTCGGCACCCATGCACTCAGAGGGACCTGTGGGCTACGCCGCTGCCGGAGCCGGGCCGGCCTGACCCCCTTTCCGCCCGCTGCCGGAGCCGGGCCGGCCTGACCCCTTCCTGCCCGCTGCTGGAGCCGGCCGCCCTGACCCCCTTCCCGCCACACAGGGCAAGGAGCTGCTGGCCCAGAAGCTGCCGCTGTGGCAGCAAGCCTGTGCCGACCCCAACAAGATCCCAGACCGGGCCGTGCAGCTGATGCAGCAGATAGCCAGTAGCAACGGCGCCATCCTCCCCAGCGCCCTGTCGGCCTCCAAATCCAACCTGATCATCTCAGACCCCATTCCTGGAGCCAAGCCCCTGCCGGTGCCCCCAGAGCTGGCACCATTCGTGGGGGTGAGTCCTGGGTCTTGGGGAGTGTATGGAGGGGAGGGTGGTCCCCATTTACAGTAGCTTGTCCACCGAAGGGCAGGGCCCTTATGGGGATAGAGGGTTCCTTCCCGAGCTGGCCCCCAGCGACGCCCCGCCCCTGCCTCCTCTCCCTCCAGCGGATGTCTGCTCAGGAGAATGTGCCCGTCCTGAATGGCGTCGCAGGCCCGGACAGCGAGGACTACAACCCCTGGGCCGACCGCAAGGCTGCCCAGCCCAAATCCCTGTCTCCCCCGCAGTCTCAGGGCAAGCTGAGCGACTCGTACTCCAACACACTTCCCGTGCGCAAGAGTGTGACCCCGAAGAACAGCTACGCCACCAGTAAGGGGCCGCGGGAGGGTGGGGGGCGGGGCTGGAACCCCGTGTGACTTCCCAGGCCTCAGTGGTGCTACAGCCTGGAAATCTGAGGCCTGTGTGAGTGTGTGCGCGTGTGTGTGCATGTATAAGCACGTGCCTCCTATCCGGTGTACGTGTGTACCTGTGTGTACATTTACCTGTGGACATGCATTTGTGCAGATGCATGTGTGTGGTGTGCATGTGTTCAGGTATGTGGGTAGCATGTGCATGATGTGTGTTTTCATGGCATGTGTGTGCGTACCCCTTGGGCGGTGTGCATGTGTGTACATACGTGTGTAGGTGCGAGTTTGTACGCACGGGTGTGCTGTGTGTGAGTGCATGCAACACGAGCCGGCCTGAGGGTGGGACGCAGCGCCGCTGGGCCGGGGCCCTGTCCGTGGCATAGAAGTAGGAGCAGGTGGACAGGCTGGGGGAGGTCCAGTTAACCAGGGCCCTGACAGTGCCCAGTGCCCGCCTCACCCGGGCTCCCTGGCCTATGTCCTGGGCTCCCTCTGCCATACGCAGCCCTGTCATTCCTACCCCATTGTTGCCCTGGCAGCTGAGAACAAGACTCTGCCGCGCTCGAGCTCCATGGCGGCCGGGCTGGAACGCAACGGCCGCATGCGGGTCAAGGCTATCTTCTCCCACGCGGCGGGTGACAACAGCACCCTGCTGAGCTTCAAAGAAGGCGACTTCATCACCCTGCTGGTGCCCGAGGCCCGCGATGGCTGGCACTACGGCGAGAGCGAGAAGACCAAGATGTGAGCAAGATGGGCATCGAGGGGCAGTGTGAGGCAGTGGCCAGGGGCATCAGTGTCCGACGCGCTGGCACCAGCGGCTCTCCACGAGGCCGCGAAGCCTGGGCCGCAGGGACACGTGTGGTCCCTCCGCTCATGTGGCCGGAAGGAGTTTGGCTGCAGCCCAATGAAAGCCACAGGCATGGGGAGGGTCCCTGAGAGCCAGAGCCCTGCCTGCCCCTCCCATGTCTCCTCTGACCTTCAGCTGGGGCCTGGGTGGCAGGTGTATAGCAGCTCTGCCCGGGTCACTCCACCCCCACATCCCAACCTTAGGGTGCAGGTGGTGGGGTCCACAGGGCTGCCAAGTTGAGGCTGCTTAGACCCCTTGCTCTGTGGCTTAGTGGGTCTGGTGTCAGCCGCAGAACAGCACAGGGTGCGGGCACCCTGGGACACCAGTGCCTGCCCTCCACCACCGGGTGTGTCCAGGCCAGGGAACCAGTGCAACATGGGGTCCAGTGATGGTCCGGAGGGGCCTGGATACAACCTGGTGGGGTGCTGTGCAGGGCAGGTATGGGCTGCTCACTGGGGCCTCTCTTCCAGGAGAGGCTGGTTTCCCTTCTCATACACCCGGGTCCTGGACAGCGATGGCGGGGACAGGTTGCACATGAGGTGAGCGGGGCTGTGCCTGGGTTCTCTGCCCAGCCGGCTCGGCCCCGTGTGAGGCCTGGCCTCTGGCTGCGGCTCCTGTGCCTGGCAGGGCTGCTGCTGCATGTGTGGGGGCTGTGGGGGAGGGGAACGCAGCACAGGGGTTCTGGGAGTCAGGGTGCTGAGAGGAACAGCCGGTGCTCTGTGAGTGGCTCTCGGGTGGTGCATTGGGATGGGGACACCCAGCTGCCTCTTCGGGGTTTGCAGGCTCTCCCAGCCCTTGAGGCCCAGCTGGACCTGGGAGAGGGAGTGGCAGCTGCCCGTTACTGTGCCCTGCATAACGGGCACGGTGCGCTTTGTCCTGGCACATCCTGCCAGGCCCAGGGCGACCTGCCTGCGAGGAGACGGGGAAACTGGTAGAGGGGAGGCCTGTGGGGTCAGCCCGCTGGCGGCGGCCTCGCATGGGCTGCGTGTCTGGCCGCCCAAGAGAGGGCAGGCTGGCAGGGTACTGCTCTGCCTGGGCCCCCAAAGCCCAGACATCTGTGTTCCACTGGAGAGGAAGACCGGGACGGGCTGCCCAGCCCGCACTAAGCCCTGTGTGCCCCCGCAGCCTGCAGCAGGGCAAGAGCAGCAGCACTGGCAACCTCCTGGACAAGGATGACCTGGCCATCCCCCCTCCCGACTACGGCACGTCCTCCCGGCCCTTCCCCACGCAGACTGCCGGCGCCTTCAAGCAGAGGCCCTACAGCGTGGCTGTGCCCGCCTTCTCCCAGGTGAGTGGTCAGGCCAGGGCGGGAAGGACTGCATGGAAGGACTGTGGGCACAGGCCGGGTCTGACGGGGCCCAGGTTCTCTGGTTGGGGATTTGTGGCTTGGTACAGACCCCAACATGGGCCCTGCTGGCCACCATCCCCCTGACCCCCTTTCGACCCCTCTTCCTGGAGGTGTGTCCAGATGGGACATGGCTGACCCACCAGCCCTCAGTGCCCAGGGCAGGGCCAGCCTCGTGCACACAGGGAGCTGTCTATGCTGGGGACGCTGTTTCCTGAGCACCCATGTCTTCCCCGGGGCGTTGCGGGTAGCCAGGGCCAGCCCAGCCTGTGTGAGCGGCCAGCGGGTGGCCGCCTCCTGTAGCTGCCTCCCTGCCAGCCTGTGCCAGCAGGCCCGCCGCAGCCCTCGCCTGCATTCATGCCCACCTCCAGACCCATGGTGGTGCGTCCAGGCCCAGGGCCCTGGCTCTCAGGGAGGCCTCTCTGCTGCCCAGACCACCGGCTGGGCCTGTCCTCGACCCACGCGAGCGGCCGCGTTCTTTCCAGGCCTCAGCTCTTAGGTGTCCTGTGGGGAGGGTGTGCAAAGGGGGGTCCGGAGACGACCGCTTTTTGTACTAAGAGCCAGTTGTCCACGGACCACTCAGGGGTCTTGGTTAATTTGGGGGTCCATCATGGCACTACTCGGAACCATGGGCTACTGAGGAGTCTTGAGCCATTGCAGCCAGAGTGGGGAGGAAGGGGTAGGGGCCCACCTTCCCTTCCTGGGGCCCAGTCTGAACCCCAGCGTGGACCGGATGGTCCCGGGTCCCAGGTTGGTGGCGAGGCGTCGGCCCAGCCTGACCGCTTCTTTACTCCCCAGGGGCTGGATGACTACGGAGCCCGGTCTGGGAGCAGGTAAGGGCTTTAGACTTGTCTTTGGGGCTGCGGGCGGGCAGCCGGGGGCTCCGGCAGGGTAGCCCCCTCTCCTGGGACCTAGAGGCCCGCTCCTCTTCCTTTGGAAGCCCGGCTTGGCCTCGAGCCAGCACCTGAGCAGCCAGCCACCCACCCTCCCGGCTCCGAGTCTTTCTGAGCAGCGAAGGCCCTTCCTCTGCCCTGGTTTTCTTTCCTGCCCGGGCCGCCACGGGGTCACAGGCCCACCCGGCCTCATCCGCGCCTCCCTAGAGCGGGGTGGGACAGTGCTGCCACCTGTTCCCCGGGGCCACACCTCCGTCCTGGCTCCTCCGTCCACCTCCATCCCTGAGGCCAGGCAGCGGCCGCGCTGGCCGGCGGCGTGCGTGTGGCAGCTGTGCTGTGCTTTGTTCCGCAGCAGCAGCGGCACGCTGGTGTCCACAGTGTGAGGATGTGAGCCGGCAGCCGCTCCGAAGAGCCCCTCCCCCGCCTCCGTCGGTTTCCCTCAGCTCGCGTTGGTTTGTTCTTGGGTTTTCTCCCCACCTGCTCCCGCCTTTTGGTTGGTGACCCCAGACTCTGATCCCCCAGGGTCCATGGTGCTGCTCCCTGCGCCCCGCCCCCTGCTCGGCCACCATCCGGGGGCCCGGCCTTGAGCAGACATTGCCAGGCAGGGCCTGCGGGCCCGGTGGCCAGCAGTGACCTCGCCCTGCCCAGCCCTGCCCTGCCCTGCCCTGCCCTGCGGTGTGCACAGCGCACAGCCCTTTTCTCAGGCTCGCTGCGAGCCAGCCTAGAGCTCGAAGAAAAATTCTAAAAAAAAAAAGCAAAAACAAAAAAGGGGGGCACAGGGAAAGGACTTCTTTCCCTGGAACACACAGATATGCATGGACTCTGGTGTACGTACTGTTATCCCGCATCCCACCCTGGCGTACCGGCTCTTCTAGAACAGGGAGGGGGCTCAGGCTCAGAACCCCACCTGCCCCAGGCCCCTTCCAAGGGCTGCACCAAGAAAGGGGGCTTGTGCCACGCTTGGGGGGGGCGCCTCCTGAGGAAGCTGGCCACTCCTGTGAGGGAGACCCCAGCCCCGGCCCTCCTGGCCCTGCCCACCAGGCCAGGCACAGGGCCTCTCGGTGGACCTCACTGGCCAGGTGTCCCGAGCGCGCGGCGGCGCCCGGGGCGGGGTGGCGTACCTCACGCGGTGTGCGGGCGGGGGCGGGGGCGGGAGCAGGCGCTGCCTGGCCACACGCAGACATTCCAAAGACCTCCAGAGACGACCCCACCCCACTTGTTTTTGGAACTTGTTTCTTTAACCAGCCTTGTGAGGAAGTCACAGCCCCCTGTGGCCACTGGGCTGCAGGGGGCGGGGTGTGCGTGGCCGGCCTGGTGAGGCTGGCCCCAGGAGGGCTCTGGGCAGGCTGCCCCATGCCTCCGGCCCTCGGGGAGCAGCGGCCCCCGCCCCGCTGCCTCCTAAGCACTCTCGTCTTTTTGTGTGTCTCGGTGACTTTAGAAGCAAGCACACTGGACTCAGTGGCTACTGGTTCTGTCTCTTCACACACTGAATTCTGGGCAGCCGAGCCAAGGCACGGCGGGGTCCGCACGCGGCCGGTGGGAGCCCCTTGTGAAGCGGTGGACGCGCCTCTTTCCAGTGTGGTTTAGCTAAACCCTCCCGCACCCCTGCCGAGGACTAGAATGTGGCCCGTGGTGTCCGCGAGTGGCCGCTCCGGCAGACATGCCCTGTTTTATATTTAAGGAAAACACAGCCAGAACCTGGACCTGTGTAAGAAACCTTCTGTGTCGTTCTGACTTTGCTAAAAGATTTTAAATCCAGGGGACTCCATGTGCAATGGACGAATGTAGACACAAGTCAGCAACACTCGTGTGAAGATGTAAAGTGCTGAAAATATTTTTTTTTCCTTTTTCCTTTCCTTTTTTTTTTTAAATCTGAATTGTGCCCTGTACTGCAGTTAACCGTTTGAATAAAAGTTTTATTTATTGCATCGAGTTGGGTTTGAAGCCTCCTTCCAGTTTCCGGCATGTGTCGGGGCTGTGTGGGCCAGGCCGTGCCTCTGTGCACCCCAGCTTGGGGCCCGTCCTCAGTCTCTTGGCTCTGCAGAGCACCCGTGGCAGTCTGTTGAACAAACTTAGCCTGGCAGGGCCATGCCAGCCCAGTTGGCTTGGGTGCCTCCTGCTGCTGCCCGCGCCCTTGCTGACAGTGCCCGGGCTCAGAGCTCAGGGCCTCGGCAGGCGTGCTGCAGGCCGCAGAGGGGGCAGGTGGCCTGTCGGGGCCACACACCCCTCAGAGCCACCTCAGGCTCCCTGTGGACTAAGCATAAGGTGGGCACTGGCTGCTGCTGCGGGGCGGAGTGTGCTGAGGGCTGCGCTCCTCATCCTGGCTGGACTCTGCTCCCCGAGCCCTCTACTCCCTCCCCCATCCAGCTCCACCAACGAGGCTTGTGTTTCCTTGCAGCGCCCATGTGGAAGTGGCCAGATTTTGAGCTGCCTCTGACTAGAGTTAGTAAGTTGCCCTGGTCTTGTGCCCTTCTGTCTAATCTGCAGTGACTCCGGACAGACCTCCAGCCCCTGCTGGGCAGTGGGCCTGGGGGCTCTGCCAGGCTGCCTGGCTGTGGGCTTTGAATCTTCCTCCTTCTGGCACCCTCCTTGGGTTTGGGGGTCTCTTTCCTTCCACCCAGAGGCTTATGGGTCTGGCTCTGTCTGTCCCGTCGCTGCCTTCCCTGCTGAATGTGGGGTTGGCTTGACCCTTCATCTTCTCCTCCCTGCTGGGTGCTTGGAACCCCTGGTGGGCATCTGGGGTCAGGCCTGTCCATGGTGACCACATGGCCCCCAACTTAGGTGTTTCTGTGGGAGCATGGGGGAGGGGAGGCAGGCTGGGCCTCTCCGCAGAGTCCTGAGGACGGCTCTGTGGCCCTGATGTTCGCTGCCATCTGACCTTACCTCTTTGGGGTTCCCTCCTCACGTGGTCCCCAGACAGTGCCCAGGCTGCCTGGAAGCAGCCCCCTGCTACAGTGCCTCCTGGTCACCATCTGGTGACACCCCCTGTCCTTGGCCCTGGGAAAATGCACAGGTGCACAGCTGGGCCAGACAACGGTGGCTCATGCCTGTAATCCTCATTTCTCAGGATGCCAAGATCCAGAGACCCAGAGTTTGACGCCAGCCTAGCCCAAAGGGGCTGAGACTTCCACCTCTAAAGTAACCGGCTGTGCCAGGACAGAGGCATGGCTCATTTGGTAGAGACCAGCCATGAGCAAAAAAGCTGAGCAGTAAAGCCCAGGGTGGAACTGGGGGGGGGGGGGGTGAGAGGGTGCTGCGGGCACAGGCCCCACCCCGCGGCAAGGGCTCCCATTGCCCTCTGGCCACGGCACAGGAGGGGACGGCAGGGGCTGGCACAGGCCCTATTTACATACACCAGCCTGTGGATGGCCAGGCCTTTCAGGCCAGCCCTGAACCCGTGCTCTTTCTTATTGAGGGCCTGCAGCATTCTAGAAAGTTATGTGGCAAAATGGCGAAGTATGGGGACAGGACAGGATGGCAGCGCCTCTGGTGGTCACAGGCAGGCCGCTTCTCTATCCTGCCAAAATGCCAGGAAGCCTGTATGTCCAGCCTTGCAGCCCCCCCCCCCGTCCCTCCGAGTGGGCCGGGGCCATGCTGGCCTTGGCTCTAGGGGCATCGGGAAGACTGAGGAAGGGACCTGGGGGCACATGGGCATTGGATGGTGCTGGACTGCCACCCCCGCGTCTGCCTGGCCACTCACCTGGTGGGCATCAAAAGCCATCTGTTGACAGGTGCCCACATTGCCCAGCTGCACCTTAGGGTCGTGACCGGTGAGCTTCAAGCCACCAACCACATTCTGGCCAGGTGAGGCCAAGGCCCACCCTTGATTCTGGGAGTGTGATTGCTCCAGAACACGGAAGTCCAGTTAGGGTCAGCTGCGGCAGCTCCCACCTGTAATCCCAGCTACTTGGGAGGCAGAGGTTGGAAGGTTGTCAGGCTGGGTGTGGTGGTATATGCCTGCCATCCTAGCATCACAGGAGTCACTAGGAAGGAGCCGCAGTCTGAGGCCAGTTTGAGGCTAAAATGTAAGTTCCTACCCAAACAATAGAGCAGAGAGAGGCTGGAGTGTGGCTCAAGTGATTAGAGCACTCACCTGGCAAGAACGAGACCTGAGTTCAAACCCCAGTACTTCCAGAAGAGCTAGGTGGAGGCAGGCGTCGGCCACGTTGCTCCGGTTTGGTCCTCCTGAGGCTGCAGACTGACGTGGTCATGTGCTTGGCTCCCAGAATCCCGCTGCTGCTCCTGCCACAGGCAGCCTTGGCAGAGCACCGTAAATTGTTCCGTAAATTGCAGTGCCGTGCCGTTCTGTCGGGGGCTGGGTTCTTCAGGGCTCTACAGGTTCCAGTCAGTGAGGGAGACCCTGCCCTCCCCCACCCCACCCCACCCCCGGGGCAGCTTGTCTCCCCTGGCTACCCTCTGCCCTGGCCGCCTCCTTGCTGCCTCTCACAGCCTGGAGCGGGCGCTGGTCTGGGCAGGAAAGCTGCAGTTATTCCGGGAGTCCAGGGCCAGCGCGCCAGGCCCTCCCGGCAGCCCCCGCGGCCTTGGCCGCATCTGTGCGTGGCTGTACGTTCAGAAGGAAGCATGGCTCTGGCAGGACAGAGGACAGTCTCTTTGCACACAGTGCCACGCCATGGTGCCCGTGAGCTGTGAGTCGGCGTTGTGCTGCTTTGTCCAGTCCCAGCCCCATGGGTTACCCGGGTGGCTCCCAGGGTCACTCCAGGCCCTGCTTTCCCTGTATCTCAGGACTGAGTAGCCGTCCAGCCTTCTTCTCGAAGCCCTGCAGTCTGGGGGCGGGGGGGTGCAGGAGATACAGAAGCGCTGATCTGACATTTGGGGGTCACAAGCCTCAATTTTCTCAGACCCTCATAGTGTTGATGGTCCTGTGTGCTGGGTCCAGAGGGTGGCACAGTTTGTACAGAGCCTCTCGGGTGGAGAACCTTCTAGGCCGCAGCTTCGCCACTGTGAGCTCCGGTGTGAGCCAGATCGGGGCAGGACAAACATGGTGCTGCAAGCTCATTCTGCAGGGGAGCCGCGGCAGGCACGGGGGGGGGGGGGCTGCACCTGGGCCAGGAACTTCTCTGTGAGCCACTGTGCATGGCGGGCAGCCTAGCACCACAGTGACCCGGTCCTCACCCCCCCCCCCCCCCGCGTCCTACACAGTGCCTGGCCATGGGTGAGGGGGAAGGCCAGGCAGGCCAGCCGACGGCGGCCTTTGAAAGCCTCCCAGAGTGTTTCAGGTGTGTAGGAGAGTCCTCAGCAAAGGGTAGGGAGAGGTGCTGGACGGAGCATCTGCCCACCCCCAGGGGCACACCTCCCCTGCTCCGGACGACTCCACTGGGCCAGAGGCGCCCGCTCCAGGTAACGGTGTCCCCGGGAGCACAGTCCCGTGCCTGCCCGTCCTGTCCACCGACGTGTGCTGTCACTGCAGAGCCCCGATGTCCGCTGCCGCCCTGGGCCGTCCCCGCCAGGGAGCCCTCCTCGGCCCGTGGGGACGGCGAGGAGGGAAGGCTCCCACGAGGACGGCCCGTCTGCGCTCCTATGTTCCATTCTGTTGCTTGTGCATCGGCTGTGGCCGCGGGGGCGCGGTGCTCCTCTGGGGAGGGGGCCGAGCCCTGGGTGCGGGACAGCTCCGTCCAGCCACGGGGGCAGTGAGCCTTCTGCCGAGGGTGCCCGTGTGTGTGCCCCTTGTGTCTGTCGTGTCTGCGTGTCTGTGGCGTGCCTGCTGGGCACCCTGCATGCCTGGACCAGCCTGCGTGGGCTGTGGAGCTGGGTCCCTGCTAAACAGGCTGTCTGTGCTCAGACCAGCCACTTCTTGGGCTTGTGGGGGGGAGTACCTTTAGGGCTGGCCTACCACCACCCCCTTCCTCTAGCCTGGGAGGGCTGCCGGGACCAAGTGGAGGTGCCCTGCCCCACGCAGAGCCCGTGGGGTGAGCAGGGACAGCGCGGGGGTCTGCAGCCAGCCGCAGCTGGCATCGCGTCACCGGGGCAGGCAGCACTCATGCCTGGCTGCCACCCCGAGCTGAAGCCCCTCCTCTCTCCTCAGGAATCCCTTCGCCAACATCCAGCTGAAGCCGACAGTGACCAATGACCGGTCTGCCCCCTTCCTCAGCTGAGGGCCACGCCTGTGACGCTGCTGTTCCCCACCGCCTACCGGAGCATCGCACCCGGGTTGCGGTTCAGAGAACCGCCTGCCAGCCCTCCGCCGCACTGCTCTGGCCCCAGCCTGCCCGCTGTTGGATCCTGACTGCTCCGGGGGCAGCCCCTGGCAGGCCCCAGGTGGAAGCCAAGGGAGATGCCCAGGCCTGCTGGCCACAGGTCCTCCCCGGCAGAGGGGCTGGCTCTTGGGCGGGCACCGTCCCTCCACGGCTAGGGAGCACCGTGTGTTGGAGCACGGGAGACTCAGCTTGCCGTGGGAGCTTCCGCTCCTGCACGGCTGTTTCATTTTGAGGCAGGGTCTCTCCATGCAGTCCCGACTGGCACTGAACTCTGGATCGTCCTGACTCAACCTCCCAAGGGTTGGGATTGTAGGCCTGAGTGTGCCTGGCTCACACTGCCTTGAGCTCCCCCCTCTGGTCAATAAATGGGCACTTGAGCACACAGTGTGATCTGTCGGCCGGGGGCTGCGGGAATGCTGGAGGTTCCCCTAACCCCTTAACCTCCCTTCAGACCCTGTCCGCTGTGCCTGAACAGCTCGGGTTCCCCGGCTCCCACCAGCTCCAGCCTCAGCAGGCACTGAGTGCTCAGCGGGCAGCTGCCACAGCCTGGACCGCCAGTGCAGGTCCTCCCCCCGGGGCCTGCCTGAGGATGGCCCGTCCAGCTGCCCCTGGCAGGGCCTGGGCCTGAGCTGAAATACCAGACTTCACCGCTCCGAGGGTCTTGTGTGCAGCACCACGATGTGAGCTGAGCTGGCGGTAGCAGCCCCGCACCATGGAGAATGCCAGGCAGTGCGCCTTTGTCACAGACTCAACCACCTGCTCCTGCTCCGCACCCACGGCCACCAGGGCCCACGCAGCACAGCCCCGGACACAGCAGGAAGACACAGGAGCCCAGACTGGGCCTTTCCTACCGCCTACTACTCCACTGCTAGGCAGGGACAGACACAGCTCCTGGAAAGGGCAGGGGCAGAAGAGCAGCTGCCGGAGGGAGGTCCGGGTCTACCTCTTCCTCTGGCCCACACAGGACCATTCTGGGGTGGGAGGGGTTGAGGGACTGCCCCCACCCCCCCACCCCCCACCGTGGGATGGGAGGAGAGGCCAGCTTCCCTCCTGATCGTGGGCAGAGCTGGCAGCTGCACCCAGGGTATCAGCTATAGACCCACAAAGAAAACACTGCGATGAAGGCTGTTTTTTTCTTAGCTTGATTTCTCTTAAAAAACAAACAAAAAAAGAACAAGAAAACCATTGCACCAGCGTCCTAAGCCTCGAACTAATAAGAAAACAAAAAACACAAACCAAAAACAAGTCCCCCCCACCCCCAAAGCAACAATAAACTTGACAGGTCTTTGGCAACAATAACTTAGAATCAATCAGCCCATGTCCATTTGCTCCAGCAAGTTACAAAAATATTCACTGTGCTTCCCCCAGCCCTCCCCTTCTCCCAGCCCTCCCAGCAGGCAGGAGCCCCACACTGTGGGGTGTGACCCCTACTCTCCTTCGGCCACCAGGGCATGGGGCCAGACGCTGCTCCATACAATGGTGCTGCCTGCACCGCCCCAACAAGGGCACATCTAGAATGGGCCCCGCTGGGCTGGGCTGCAGCCAGGACCCTCCCCGCTGCTCAGGAAGGCCCAGGCCAGAGCAGCTGGGGGGGGGGGGGGTTCCGGGGGAGGAGTGAAGGGGACAGGACCGGAGACTCGGAGATAAGGACATGGAGCCCAGGAGCCTGTCCTTGGCACTGAGTAAACCAGACCCCAGACCCAAGTGGGAGGGGTGGGAGGGCTAGGAAGGGACTTGCAGGCCTGGCCCTGCCTCACCCAGCCAAGGGTCCTGTGAACACAGGGAGGAAACCTGCCGGGCATCATGGCCAAGGGCACCGCAGCCAGCCAGTCCCAACAGCAGCTGCTGCTGCAGGACAGCTGCAAATGGAGGGCAGTCACCCACGGGGCAGGGCCCTCTCCAGTGTGAGCATGTGTGTGTACAGACACCCACGGCCCCCAGGCTACGGGCCTCGTCGGGCTGTTAGACAACTCCAGTGTCCTGGTCACATTCTGTCCCCGGGCAGCTGGGAGTGGCTGCACGGCCAGTCTGCTGTCCAGTGCCAGAGTCGGGCCTTTCGTCCACCTGCTGCTCCAGCACGCTGTGGGTACACCGTGGCCCTGGGACCTGCTACCACTGGGTTACTGTGGTTCCCACTCATTCCCGGTCACCGTCCTCGTTGCTGCCTGGGACAGGATAGCAGGGGTTCCAGTGACGCCAGCCACCACAGGGTGGAGCCCCCTGGGTCTCAGGCCTCCATGCACCCTCCCCCCCGGGGCTGGTCACCGGGGCCTGGCAAAGGGGGAGGCTGGGTGAGCGTGGAGGAGGACGCAGGCCCTGCTGGGCTGGCGATGGGTCCGTCTCCCGCCGTCATCACCCTGGCCAGGCCTACCACACACTCGGCCCTTGGGGAAACAGGCCTGACCAGAGAGTTTGTCCAGCCGCTTCCCGGTGGTCTGCTTGTCTAGGAAGGGGGGGTAGGTCTTTTCCTGGGGTCTGCGGCCACAGGCCCAGGGCACCTGGGGAAGGAAGTCTGCGGGCCCGGGGAGGGTGAGAGGCAGGCCGGAGGGGCTGGGGGCTGGGCTGCGGGCTGCGGGCTGCGGGAGCCCCGTCCGGGGAGGAGCCCGGCCTGTGCCAAGGCACTGCAGCGGGGCCCAGCGGCGGCCACGCGGGGCTTGGCGGGGCGCTCTGCGGTGGGCAGCGGGGAGGGGGCAAGGCGGGCAGGGGTGGTCTGGGAACATTCTGGAAGGAGCAGCTGCAGCTAGTGGGGGCGGCTTCCTGCAGCCTGCCCTGGGGTGATCTTTCTAGAGAGATCTCCCCGCTCCGTGGGGAGGCCAGGCTGCAGGGACCGACCACACGGGCCGGGGCGGCTGTTGGGCCCCAGGCCAGGAGCTGACGGGGCGGGCCCGTTCCCAAACGCCCCGGACACGGCGCCCACCCCGCCGCGTGGCCTTCCCGCCTCACCTCCCACGGACTGGGCCTCCGAGTCGGACACGTGCGTGATGGAGAAGCGGGACGCGGGTGCGGGCGACACGGTGAAGCGCGAGAGGGGCGTGGCCGGCGCGGGGGGCGTGGCCGGCGCGGGGGGCGTGGCCGTGCCCAGCGACTTGGCCAGCCGGAAATGGTCGTCCCACTCGAGCCCGCCTGCAACCCGGGTGGGCGGTCACTGGAGGGCCAAGCCCCGCCCCGCGCCAAGCCCCGCCCCGCGCCAAGCCCCGCCCGCCCCGCCCCCTGCTCACCCTCTTCCACCGGGGCGTCGGGGCGCGTGCGGCCGGGAGCACCCGCGGGGAGCGCGGGGGGCGACTCCTTGGCGCCCGGGAAGGGCTCCCCGAGCTCACGGGTGGGGCTCTCCTGCAGAGGCCGGAGCAGCAGGTGGCTGGGGCCGCCCGGCGGGGGCGTCTGGCCGCACCCACGGCAGGCCCCGGGTCCCGCCCTCCCACGGCCCCGGGTCCCCCCCTCCCACGGGCCCCGGGTCCCACTCCCCGCCCCTCACCCCCCTCCCACAGACCCCTGGTCCCCCCCTCCCACGGACCCCGGGTCCCCCCCCCCCTCCCACGGACCCCGGGTCCCCCCCCCTCCCACGGACCCCGGGTCCCCCCCCCTCCCACGGACCCCGGGTCCCACTCCCTCTCCCACGGGCCCCGGGTCCCACTCCCTCTCCCACGGGCCCCGGGTCCCACTCCCTCTCCCACGGGCCCCGGGTCCCACCCCCCCCCCCCACGGACCCCGGGTCCCACCCCCCACCCCAGGTTCCTCCACCACCACCCCACCCCACCCCTGTTCTCACCTGCCCTGGGTCCCATTTCCCCCCTCCCACAGGCCCTGAGTCCGGCACACACGGCCCCACCGCCCGGGCCTGCCTACCTGGTCGAAGAGGTAGACCGTGACATCGTCGAAGAAGGACACGGCCTTCTTCCTGCGCTCCAGGTCCTCACAGAGGCTCTCGGGCAGCAGGCCGGGCGTCTTGAGCAGGCTGCGCAGGTTGCGCACGCTCTCGCTCTCGGCCACCACCACCGGGACGGCCGGCGCCTCCTCCTCGCTGTCCTCGCTCGGCTCCTGGATGCTGTAGCAGCGGAGCTCCTCGTCCGACGCGTCACTGTCCTCGCTGTCCTCCTCCTCCTCCTCCGGCGGGCCCTCCGAGGCCCTCGGGCGTCCGGGGAGAGCCAGGCAGAGCGGGGGTCTGAGGGAGCCCAGTGGGGCGTGCCCCTGGGGCGCAGTGCCATCGCCACCCGCGTTCAGCAGAACGGGGGTCAGCAGGAAAAACTCGGAGCGGCCTGGGCTGGGCACAGGCCGCACCTCGACTGGCGTTTGGTCCCCAGGAGGCCCTGACCTGGAGCTGCCGGGGGACAGCGCCTCCTCCAGGCCAGAGCCTGGCGCCGCCCCTGGCCCTCCAGGCCCAGTGGGAGCCGGGGCGGCCTGCGCCGGGCTCTTCAGGCCCAGCTCCAGTGGGGACAGCCGGGCCTCGCTGCATTTCTCAGAGTCCAGGGGGGCCTCCGGCTCGGCGTCCAGATCGGAGAAGTAGGCCGAGTCTCGATAGGGGTTCTTCTCACCCAGGCCGCCCGGGGCGGTGGGGAGCCGGGTCTCAGGCCCCGGGCTCTCGCCCCCAGAGGCTGGCTCCTCATTTGTGTCATGGGCATCCTTGAGCACAAACTCAGGGGACTCGTAGTTCTCCGTGTCGTAGCCGCTGTCCAGCGCGCGGGGCTGCCCGGCGGCGGGGGGCGGCGGCCGACGGGCTCAGGACCTCACAGCCACCGTCGCTAGCTGCCAACGGGGTGTCCAGCGAGTCCAGGGAGTCAGGAGTCCCCGCTGGCTTCTGCCGCGCGCACAGCGGGGCCGGCGCGGCGTCTGGCTTCCCGGCTGGGGGGCCCTCCCCGGACAGGTCGATAAAGACGCCCGAGGCGGCCCCCATGCTGCCCTCCTCCTCCCTGCCGGGCACCGCCGGCTCGGGAGCGCGGCTGCGGGCACCGGGGGCGGTCGCCACTCCGCCCGCGGGCGTGGGTGAGGCGGGAAGGACGTGGGGAGCGCTGGCCTCTTCCGCGGGCAGCGGGGCTCCCTCGCGGGAGGGGGAGGGGACAGAAGGAAGGGGCAGCTGGGGCCCTGGGATGCCCTCGGCCTCGCGGGCAAGCACGGGCTCCCCTTGGGGGTTGTGCCCCCCACCCACGGCCTCCTCTGTCCAGGGGAGCGAGGCGGGGGCCACGGCCGGGGTGGGGAGCAGGGAGGGAAGGCCGAGGCAGCGGCCTGGCTCCCGGCCAGGCCAGGCTGCATGTGGCCTAGGCAGAGACCCTCCCGGGTCCTCCTGTTCCGGGGGCTGGCCGGCCTCTGGGGAGGCCGGTGGGGTCTGGGTGGGGCTGAGGTGGTCATCCGCGAAGCTGCCTGTGAAACTACCCGCGTAGCCCGGGTCCCAGGACTCCGGGTCGCGGCTCCCACTGTTGTTGTTGGACGACATGTTGGAGCTCCAGTGTCCACGCTGGGTGGCCCTCCGAGCCTCAGCCTCCCCTGGCTCCTCCTCGTCCTGGAACGGCGGGGCCCCCGGGCTCCCCATGGGAGAGGTGCCCAGTGGGTCCTCGAAGGGCGGGCAGAAGGCCACACCCCAGTCCGCATCATCCTCTCCGGTGTCTGCCAGCATCGGGGCTGTGGGCGAGGGTGAGCGAGCGTGGCAGGGTGGGCTCTGGGCGCAGCCCCTGCGCAGGTGGTGGTCACGGCCGCCCCACGGGCCGTCCGTGGGCAGCACGCGGCCCAGCAGGGGCTCCATGGCCAGCGAGGCCGCCGTGCTGCCGTCAGAATCGTCATCGGGGTCGGCAGCGCCGGGGGGGCGGGGGGCGCAGCCTGCGCAGTCCGGGTCGTGGCCCGCGGCCGCGGCGGCCTCCTCCAGGCGGATGAAGTACTCGCTGCCCAGGGACGGGCTGTGCGCGCTGAGCACCGGCACCACGCCGGGCGGCGCCCCGTCCTCCAGGGCGCGCAGCTGCTTCGGGCGCCCGGCCCGGCCCGGGCTGCGCGGGGCGGCGGGCGGTGAGAGTGCCTCCCCGCGGCCCACCTCCCATTTGTACTCGAAGTTGAGACCTCGGCTGGTCTCGGTCACCGTGAGCACGTCGTCTCCATCCACGTGGAAGCCGTCGCCGGCGAACTGCTCCAGCAGCGGGAAGGATGAGGCGTTGGGGAGCTCGGCCGCACCCAGCGCAGGGCCTGCGGTGCCCGGGCCCGGGTCCGAGCAGCTGCCGCCGCCGCCTGGCCACAGTGAGCGCCAGCGCTGCTCAAACTCCTCCTCCGCCTCCGTGGAGCCCTTGGCGCACAGGTAGGACAGCAGCAGGTGCACCTCCTCCGCCGTGGGCCGCTGCTCAGGCTGCAGCCAGCAGAACTGCATCACCTCGTACCTGCAGGGAGGTCCCATGGTGGACGCAGGCCCTGCGGTGGCCAGCTACGCCCAGAGGCAAGATGGCCCCCTTGCCCAGGGAGTAGAGTGAGCTGCCTGAACTCTGAGTGCTTTCCCCAGGCCTTGGGTGTAGGAGGGGGCTGGGGGGGGGAGCTGGGGTGGGGGACTGGGGGGGAGAGAAGCGTTTTTCCCTTGGAGTCCTCCACTCGCTTACAGGTGGGACCCAGACCCGGGGTGGGGCGGGGTGTGGGCATAGGCCGCAGCTGAGAGGAGGCTGGGGAAAGCGGGGACCCAGCCCTGGAGCCATGTGGCCCGTGCCCTGGGGTCTCAGCCCAGCCCGGCCCTCACCAGCGGTCAGACAGGGCCAGGGGCAGCTGGGGCTTCGGCAGCTTGAGCTGCTGCTCGCGGACAGCATAGGCCAGCACCTGCCGGTCCGAGTGCTGGGGATAGGGCTGCACACCCAACTCGAACAGCTCCCAGATGGTCACGCCCAGGGACCTGCGGGACAGCCGCGGTGAGCTCCGGCCGGGCACACTCACAGTGTGCCAGCCCCTCTGGGACCCGAGCTCAGATCTGCACCAGCTTCCCCGCCAGCCGGGCCCAAGCCCGGCACCCCGAGAGCCTGGCCCCACACGGGCCAAGTCCACTGTGGTCCACTTGTTCACTCCACGCTGGTCATGCAGGGGCTGTGTGGTCCAGGAGCTGCCCGGGGAAGCGGGAGGGGGCTGAGCCGGGGAGGCCTAGGCTGTGAGAGCTCTGGGCTGAGGGAGAGCTGAGCCCGGAACGAGCTGTGGGCCTGGGGAGGGCCGGAAGGAGCAGGTCCGGCAAGCAGAGCTGGGGGGGAGATGGAACTCGAGCACCAGCCCTGCGAGTGCTGCCCGGCGCTCCGCACCCTCGCCGACCCGGGTGGCTGGGGGAGCGGGTCAATCTGGGAGTGGGGAAGCGACCAAGACCCACCCCAGAGCTGTGACCAGGGAGCCAGCCACGGGAGGGGGGCAGGACGGGCACACCGGAGGAAAAGGCTAGGGAGATGGGCAGCATCGGCACTCAGGAAAGGAGCTAGCTGGTCCATGTGCAGGCTCTGAGGGTCACCAGAGGGAAGGCCGAGACCCGTCCCGGCTAGGAACCGGCGTCCTCAGACTCTAAGGCCAGTCTGGCCCACCCAGCTCTGGGGGCTCAAGGTGGGGGCTTCCCGGCTGAGGAGACAACCCCCCTCACCCCAACACGACCTGGCCTCTTTCCCCCAGGGACAGCCACACCTTTCCAGGGACAGGGAAGAATCAAGGCTGCACCCCCGCACATACCTGGGGTTTGGACCTGAATCTGGCACAGATGTTGGCTGCTCTGTTGGGGCCCCAGAACCCCAGCTGCTGGGCTGCTGGCTCCTACCCATGTGAGCCAGGGAAGCCACAGGGTGGCTTCAGACGCCGGAGATGGGGGGGTGGTCCCGGTCACAGGACCTGACCACGCACAGGCCCCGGAGCCCAGGACGACGCTCACCACACGTTGCTGGCCTTCGTCTGGTCCACCACGAGCAGGTTGCCGTGCACCTCATCCACCAGCTCGGGCGCAATCCAGCGCAGCGGCACCCAGAGCTGGTCCGCAGTCACAAAGTAGTCCTCCTGTGGGCGCAGGGGCAGGCTGAGCATCGCGCGCATGCCCGCGTGCCCGCATGCCCGCCCACCGCCGCGGGTGCTGCCCAGGCCCAGCTTACCCTGTACTTGCAGTGAGACAGGCCGTAGTCGCCGATCTTCACCGACATGGCAGCTGTGAGCAGGCAGCTCCGCAGGGCCAGGTCGCTGCAGGGGGAGGCAGGGGCAGCTGAGCCGGGCGCACTGGCCCCGGGACACCTTTGCCCACCCTGGATGGCTTGTCCCTCGGGGTGTCCTGGGCTTTGGTGGGAGGTGGCGGGGTCTGAGAAGCCGCCCAGTGTACCCCAGCCCTGACCTCAGGCCCTGCCCTGCACAATTCGGAAGGCCAGAGCAGACATGGCTTGAATGTGACGATGCAAACGAGGCCCAGATGGGGCTAGAAGGGGCTGGAACACACAAAGTTCCGGCAAAGGCCCTGCCCGGCCAGCTCTAGAACTCCTGCCCCTCCCAGCTTCCCGCTGGGACAGTCACTGTCTCTAACCTGCTTGTTAGGAGCCCCAAGCCAGTATCCCTCGTCCTGGGTGTCTCCAGTGACTTCCCCTCCGTCCTGCCCACCCCCACTGCCCAGAGCCCTGGGAGGTAGGAATGGGGCGGGGTGGGGGGGAGGGAGGGTCCCAGGGCCTGGCCAGCCCTGCCACTCGGGGCTGGAGCTGAGGCCCCAGGAGCGGGGCGGACACCAGGTCACCCCCGGACTACCTCCAATGCAGCAGCTGGCCCCTGCTGCCAGCTTTTGTGCCCCGCCTGACTTGCGGCCCCATGGGCGTCTGGGGCCCGGGGCAGGGGGACAGTAAGGGGCAGGTCTCTTTAGCTGCGCTACTGCTGCTCGCTGAGCACTCGGCCTGTCTGGGCCCGGGGCAGGGCGGCTGGCGCGCGCGGCGGCTCGGGAGGCTGGCAGCCACCCTCTTCAACAAAATCACTGATGCTGGAGTTGCCGGAGTCACCACTCAGCACCAGGATATTGTTGGGGAGGACGGCCGTGCGGCATCCGGGCGGGGAACTCATCCCCGCCTGTCTTCTAGCCCAGCCCCAGGAGGCTGAGGTCCCGGCCCATCCTTAGACCCCCGGGGGCAGGACGGGGCTGTCCCTCCCACTGCAGGCCAGCAGGTTCCCCCACAGAGCCCGAGGACGAAAGTGGGGGCCCTGGGTGGGGCCCATCCGGGGACAGCAGACGTTTCTTCATTTAATTCTATAAACCAGGTTTCAAACTCCCATCTTCCTTCTTCCCCCAACTCCCCAAATATAACGAAGCTAGCAAATTCCTTGCAGGATGAGTGGTTATCGGGCGCTGTATGGGGGGGGGGGGGGGGAGGGAGAGGCTGCTGGCGGCCGGCTCCCGCCGCGTCCTCACCTGTGCACGTAGCTGTTGCGATGCAGGTGGAGGACACCACAGGCCACCTCACACGCCATGCGCTGCAGGGTCAGCGGGTCGGGCGCCATGACCTCTGTCGCCCGGCAGCTCCGCAGGTAGCCCTTGAGGTCCCCCTGCCGAGAGGAAGTACAGGCGGTCACCCGCCGGCTGCCCCGGGCCGCCGTGGAGGTCCACGCTGACCGCCCCGGCCCCTCGTGCCGTTGGGCCGGCCTCTCCCGGCAGGCCTGCCCGGGGCAGGCGGCAGGGCGGGGCCTCCTAGGGCTCTACGTTAAGAAGGACCAGGCCCCTGGGGCCTGCCTGCAGGGAAGGTTAGCGCAGAAGGGCGCCGCTCTTCCCCGCCACGTGCGGCTGCCACTCACCAGCGGGCAGAACTCCAGCACCAAGAGGTAGGGCGTCACCTCCACGCACTGTGCCAGGCACTGGAGCAGGTTGCTGTGCTGCAGAGCCCTGCAAGAGCCACACGCTGGCTGCACAGGGCAGGACACAGACCCACCCCTCCCGCGACGGTCCCCGTCCGCCCCCCCCCCCCACGGCGCCCCCAGACGCAGGACACAGACCCGCCCCTCCCCCGCGGCGCCCCCAGACGCAGGACACAGACCCGCCCCTCCCCCGCGGCGCCCCCAGACGCAGGACACAGACCCGCCCCTCCCCCGCGGCGCCCCCAGACGCAGGACACAGACCCGCCCCTCCCCCGCGGCGCCCCCAGACGCAGGACACAGACCCGCCCCTCCCCCGCAACGCCACCCACCTGTAGGGCTGGGCCTCCTCCAGAAACTGCATCTGCTCCTGCACGCTGGCGCTGGCCTTCAGCTCCTTCACCACCACCTGCGTGCCGCTCACGCCCGAGTGCACCTCCCCCAGGAACACCTGCGGGGACCGGTGTCACCTCCGCCCCAGCCCCCCCGGGGCTTCCTCCACAGAAGGCTCTGGAGCCCTCCTGGCACTCCTAGAGCCTGCAGAGCTCTCAGGGAAGCTCCGCCCTGCGCCAAGCTCCAAGCCCCCCCTGCCCTGGCTTTCTCTGGTTGTCCCCCGTGAGGACAGGGGACCCAGAGGCCCCGTCCAGGCTGGAGCCAGGCCCGTGGCGTTTTCCCTGGCTGCCCTCCACCCCCCTCCCGCCCGCCGGGGCGGCGCTCACCTTCCCGAACCAGCCGTGGCCGATCTCCTTCAGGTACAGGAGGCTGTGCCGACCCAGGTCTGCGGACTTGAGGAGCTGGACTGTAACAGGGCGGCCAGCTCAGCGTCCCTCTTGGCCTCTTCCACCCCTGTCTCCCTCCCTGGGGAGCTACCCCAGGTCTCCCAGCATTAGCAGAGGGAGGTGGGGGCAGAGCTCAGAGGCTGAGGTGGTGACTGGGAGCTGCGGTGGGGGAGCAGCATCCCTCGGGGACAACCACCAGCTCCATCTGGGCATCTCTGCCCTGGGGAGGGAGTGCCCCACACCGCGGGGACAAGCCAGGCTAGAGGCGACCAAGCACGGAGCTGGCCCCACTGCAGGGCAGCGCCTGGCAGACTGGCCGGGGCGGAGGCCGGGGCGGGGCCTAGGCAGGTCAGCAGCCACCCTGCCCTCGCTCAGGCTGGCAGGCCCACACCAGGCGTACCAAAGGGCCCTTTGTTGGGGGCTGCTTGGCACAGCCCCGTACGGGCCACACTGGGCCCATTCTCCTGCTCGCCAGGCCGGTGAGGTCAGCGGGAAGGAAGGGTCAGTGTGGGCCGGGAAGGGGCCGTGGCTGCTGCACCCCCGCATGCCCCGTCAGATTCCCTAAATTCCGCTCCCACGCCAGCTGCTCCGGTGCGGAGGAGAACAGGGGCCCGGCCTGGCTCCAGAGAGACCCCAGGGTCGGCGAGTGGCCCCTGGGGACCAGGGCCTGACAGAGTCCAGGGTGGCGGTGGCCTTGGCGCTGCAGCCCCGGCTCCTCCCTGGAGTCTATCTGGAGCTCCTCCCCGCCGTAACCTGTCCTGGGCGACTGCAGGCCCTGCTGCGGGCACGTGGCAGCCACCGAGGCCAGACCAAGCCGCCGTCCGCCTCCTAAGTGTGGACCCCAGATTCGCCCCAAGTCTCTCCTCCCTGGAAGCAGGACGCTCCCAAGAAAGCCGAGACAATGAGACAATGGGGAGATGCAGCCTCTGCTGCCCCAGGCCCCTCTCATCCCAGGAGCTGGGTCTCAAGAACCGGTGGGATCTCAAGTACAACCTCGCCCTGCCCGGGAAACGGGGGGCAGCACCCCAGGATGGACCCCAGTGTACCCGGAAAGGCCGCATGCCATGTGCCGACCCCCTGCCTACGCTCCCTCCCTGCTGGGGCGGCGGTGGGGCAGAGTGCTCCGGTGCCCGCGTCTATGCCCCGTCCTGAGGGCCGGGCTGGCGGCAGGGCCCCCTCAGCCTCCACAGGCCTCCAGCACACGAGGAGGCGAGGCGGTGTTAGGAAGCCGTGGGGTCAGGCGGGGGCGGCCCTGGGGCCGACAGAGCCCCACAGAGCCGGCAGGGCTCCCTGGGGGTGGGGGGGGAGCCAGTGGCCGGAATGTCTAGGTGGCACCTGGGAGCAGGTCATCGCAGAGGTGGCCTGAGTTTGGGGACCCCCTGACATGCCCAGAAAGAACTGGAACCCTCCTGAGTCTCCACCATCTGCATGTCAACTCTGGAGGCTGAGAACCACCACTTCCTCATGCAGAGAGCGGCCCCAGCCCGGGAGCTGCGGGGAGAGGCCAGGGCGCCCTGGGGGGATCTGGCCTGCTCCTGAGGCCCAGGCGGGAGTCAACACAGCCCCCCCCCCCCTGCCCTGGCTGCGTGGGCCGGCCACGCCCAGCAGGCACAATGGCACCCACAGCCCCGGGCAGGCGGGGCGGGGGGGGGGGGGGGGGTGCATGGAAGCGGGAATCTGGGGTGAGCGTCCCAGAGACAGCAAGCGATGCCGGGGCCAGAGAGCCCCGCCCCATGGCTGCCCTCTGTACCCTAACCCCGGGGGGGGGGGGGGGTGACAGGCAGAGGCCGTCCTCAAATCTGACCAGGCCCAGAGGGGGAGCGCCCCTCCGATTCAGCCACCCTCCAGGGCCGAGGCCCTGCTGACCCAGCCCGGAGCCCGGTCTTGCGGGGAGGCGGGCGCCCCTCACCTGAGCGGCCAGGCTGCTTGGCCATGGGCAGGGAGACCTCGGTGAGCGGCAGGACGTACACGTCGGGCCCGTTCTGGGCGGCGGCGGCTGGGGAGCCCTGGGCTGCAAAGTCGGCCGCATACTCGTCCCCCTCGGCATTCTCAAACTCCTGCGGGCCAGGGCGGCACCACCGTGAGCCGGGGCGCTCCCTGCCTTCCAACGGAGCGCAGAGCCCGGCCACGACACCGCTCCCCACTCGCGGCCTCTAGTCCCTTCCGGAGGGACCGTGAGCCCCACGGCCATGCACACAGACTGGCCGCGGTGTCCAGGCCGCCGGCAGCCCAAGGCCCTTGATTGGGCGGCGCCTCCCACGGGGAGCTGCTGAGCTATCAAGACCCTCGGTCCCTGCACTGTCTGTGCTGCGGGGATCTGTGGGGACTCCCCCAGCCCTCCCCAGCTCCCCTCCACCAGCTCCCACAGCACTTCAAGCAAAATCTGCTCAAGTCCCACTGAGACCAAAATCAAGGTGGGGGACAGTGACAGCCCACAGCCGGGCCTCTGCCCCTCCCAGACCTCTCTGCCCCACCCTACACCCTCAGCGCCCAGTGGGGAAACTGAGGCACTGAGCGGCTGGGACCCGGCCACCCATGCCAGCCCAGGCCCTTCCCTGTCGTCCGCCCTCTGAGGGTCTCCGAATCCTCCCTGCAAGTGGGCTTTGGGGCTCTGGCCAGATTCCCGGGTCCAGGTGGGGTCTGCACACAGGCTGAGCTGCGTGCGGGACAGCGCTGTTGGTGCTTTGGCAACCCCCTCCCCCGATCCACACTCTGGCTCTGCGCCCGCCCCCCCCCCCCCCGCCCCAGGGAGGCCAGTCTGGCCAGCCCCCCCCCAGGAGGCCAGCCCGCCGCCCGGCCGGCGTTACCTGCCCCCTGTGCCTGGGGCCCCGCTGGGCAGTGCTGGCACAGCGGGCCAGCAGGTAGCACAGAGTGAGCATGGGAGCCCTGCCGGCACCCCCTGCACGGCTCCAGGACCAGGACCCCGAGCTGCCCCCCCTGCGCTGCAGAGAGCCCTGCCCGGGCCGGCAGCCGGCTGGGAGCCCTCCCGCCAGGCACGCTGGTGCTGGAATGTTCCGGGCACCAGGCTCCCAAGATGGTGAGGAGGACGCGGGTAGGAGGGGGCCGAGAGCCCTTGTGTGGGGCCTTGTTCTCAGGGCCCGAGGAGGGCCGCTACACAATGGCCCAGGGCCTGTGGGTGAGGGGCGGTGTCCCGGGGCGGGGGCGCCAGGGCAGGGCCACAGCCCCGCCATGTAGCCCTCAGCCCCCCTGGCGGGGGGGGGGGGGTTCTAGAAGAATCACTGAGCCAGCAAATTCAGGCTTTGGGAAAGGCAAGGACCACATTCCTGCTGCCTGCCTGCCATGGGGCTCCCTCGGGCACGGAGGAGGTGCTGGGCTCCCTAAAATGGGGGTACAGCTGGGCACAGGTCATTTAGTAGGGGGCTGCCATTGAAACACAGCTGGGGGGCTGCATCCAGCCCCGGGAGGCTCTGCCCAGCCTGAGGCCTCCACCAGGGCTGGGCCAGCCGATGTCCAGGGCCAGCCGGTACCCGGCCGATGCCCAAGGCCGGCCAATGCCTGGCCGATGCCCGGGGCCAGCCGGTGCCCAGGGCGGGCCGATGGTGGGAGAGTCTGCCTGGCCACAATGTGTTGACCAGCAGACCGAGGCCCAGGCAGGCGCTTGGGCTTGGAGCTCGACTCTGTGCTCCTCCCGCCCCTCACTCAGTGCCGCTGCTGGGCGGGGGGCCCACGGGGGCTGCCAGAGCGGGAGGTGCCCCTCGAGGGGTGTTCTCGGCCATCACCCCAGAAGAGGGGTTCCTCCCCAGCCCAGCCTCGCAGGGACTCTGGAGGCCGCAGGGCCTCAGCGAACGGTCCATGAAGAGCAGTGGCTACGGTGGCCATGGATGGCAGCCTGGCTTCTAGAAACCCACACCAGGGGCAGAAGATGCCCCAAAGGAACGCCTGATGGTGGGCTCTAGCGGAGTGGGGTCCGGGCCTCTCGGGGAGTTCCCCCCCCCCCCCGCGTCAGTCTAGAGCCCATGACGCCTCCCGGCCATCCCCAGCTCCCACCACCAGGACAGGACAGTGTGAGGACCCTGCCCAGGGCACCCAAAAGTGGGTGGGGGCCCCAGGCCAGGGTGACGGGGCCTTGTTGCCCCAGAGGACGTCCGCATGGGACCCCAGGCCCCCTCCCCCCAGGCCTCACCTTGAAGCCGATGCCACCCTTCTTGCAGCACAGGCAGGCCAGCATGAGGACGATGACTGTGAAGAGGCCGGAGAAGGACACGGCCACCACGGCCAGGGAGGACGACCAGGAGAGCTCACCGAGGGGGGCGCCGTCTGCCGAGAGAGGGGCGCGTGAGGCGCCGGCGCACGGTCCCCACCCGCTGCCGTCGGGGCTGGGCCTGACCAGCGCCTGACCCCTTGCTCGGACAGGTGGGCACTTGACGAGGCCCCGAGCGGGTGGACGGCGGGCTGGCCTTGGCGGTCAGAGCCTGTACCCCTGTGGGGGTCACCGGAACTCCTGCAGTTCGCAGAATGGCCAGACCGGGCCCAGCTCCCAACTCTGGGCTTCCTGGAGAGCTGCCGAGAGGCCAAGAGGCCAGATGCTACCCTGCATCTCCTCCAGACTCTGGTCCCCCCACCTTGCCCCTCTGAGGCTGTGGAGCCGGCTGCGCCACTGGCCACACTGGAGGTCTGAGCCCTGAGGTCTGGCCTCCAAGGGAAGAGACTCCCCCGGCCTGCGTTCCCGGGGCAGCAAGCCCCCTGGCTTCACACCGAGGCCCCTTGGTGCCACTTCTGCCCTGAGGACAACAGGGGCGCCTCCCGCAGCACCTGGTTACACGGTTCTCTTCTCCCAAATGGGGAAACTGAGGCGCCCCACCCCTTCCATTGAGCCACCCAAACTGGAGCTCCGCAGAGCCGGGGCTTGGGGACCCGCGCACACAGGTGCAGCCAGCCCGGAGCCCAGAGCCCGGAGCCTGGAGCCCGGAGCACAGAGCCCGGAGCCGCGGCTCTGCCCAGGCCGGACTGCCCCGGGCTCTGGCTTCTACCACGTCCCAGAGGCCTTCTCTGCCCCATGTCCCCACATGGCCCCTGAAAGTGTCCTGACCACCTCAGCCCTCAGGCACCATGTCCGTAGCCATCGGCCCCCGTGGCTCTCCGTGACTCAGCAGCCCGCCGAGGCAGCCACGGCCACCACCACCGCCACCGCCCCGGGTGCCGCTGACAAGGCCCCGCTATGCTTTGGATGGCCAGAGGCAGTGTGAGCCGAGGGCCAGCGCGGACCCTGCGGGCCAGTGCTGACCACATGGGCCAGCGCGGACCCTGCGGGCCCAGGCCGCGGGAGCAGGAGGCCGTGGGCGGCTGAGGAGGGTGACAAGGACAAGGCCAACCAGCAAAGCAGGACCGGGTCATGGTGACAGGCACAGGCAGTTGCTGGGATGCTGGGAACACAGGGGACAGCCATGCCCACAGCCCCTCCCCCCCCCCCCGCCCCCTGCACCGAGGGCCCAAAGCAGAAAGCCCTCAGAGGGGACTCCATCCACAGGGAGGCTCTGGGTCTGGCTGCCTCTGTGCAGATGAGGACCCGTGCATGTGTGCATGTGCCTTGCACTGTGTCCCCGTGTGCCTCTGTGCATGCGTGTCTCCATGTGAGCCTGCAGTGTGTGCTTATGTGCACAGGTGTGCTTGTATGCACGAGCGTGTACATGCATCCTTGTGTGCCTGGATGATGTTGCACATGCATGACCACGTGCCTGCATGTGCTGCGACTTCACGTGTGTGTGTTGGTGTGCCTGTGCGACATGTACATGAATGTTGACGTGCACAGGTGTGCTGTGTGACTTCATGCGTGCATGTGTGTGACTTGCGCAGGCATGACCTACGCCTGTGTGCACGTGCGTGTGTCCTCACCGCTGAGGGTCACATGACCCAGGGACCCGATGCCACAGCCTGGGCGCCACGTCCCCCTACCCCCCGCACCCCCCACCGCTGCTCCCGCTATGTCCCCCGCATCCCCCACGCACACAGGAAGCAGCCGTCCCCTGAGATCCAGGGTCCCCAGGGCGACCCGCCTCACCCTCGGGGTCAGGGTGTCATGGCGCAGTCCTCTCCACCCCAGCTCTGCCTGGCAGCCCTGACGGCATGGCTGAGCCCCTCAGCGGAGGAGGCCCCTCGGCGGAGGAGGCCCAGGCCACAGCCCCTCCCACGCCCGGGACCGGGCCGCCACCAGCCTCCACCGCCGCCTCGCAGCCCTCCCCTCCTCAGAGGCTGAGGCCTTCCTGCCTTGGCGGGAGGGCGGCGGGGGACTGCCCGGAGCGCAAGCAGCGTGACTCAGCCGCCGTGGGGGCTGCCATCCCCCCGTGCCCAAGTCCCTGAGGTGGGGGACAGTTAGCGCAGTGTGGCGTGAGTCGCAGAGAGAACCGCAGCCTGGAACTTTCGAACCTCCAAGTGCCTGTGGGTCTCTGGAGCCCCGTGGGGAGAGACAGCAAGGCTGGCCACAGAGCCCGGCCCGTGCTGCCGGCCTGCAGACGGGCAGGGAAGCCCTGGGAGGGGACCTGTTCCCCCTGCCAGGCGGACCTGCGCCTGCCGCCACGGGAACACAGCACAGACACACGCACGTGCACCAAGTGGGAACACGCGTGCACGCACATCTGCTTCTGTCCCCACAACACCCTGCTCCATGGTTATGCCAGCCCACAATACAGCCAAGAGAACGGGGCTCCGGAGGGACTCAGAGGCCCTCGGGAGCCAGGACTGGGGCGGGGAGGGGGGAGGACGTGGCTGTGGGGGCTGGGGGGCCCTGCTCCCGACCAGCATCCCCTGGGAGCAGCACCCTCCTTTCATTCGTGGGCCCTTATGATTAGAGCTGACTCCCAATAGATCATTTCCTTCTTCGAGGGACAGAAGCCTAGAACTCATGCCCAGTGTCACCACGGCCTGGGAACCACCAACCGACTGTTAGAGGGAAGGCGCTGGCGGAGCACCACTCACCCCCAGCCGAGGGCGGCACCCCAGGACGGGGGGGGGGCAGCATGCTGGGGGACCCCTGCTCTATTCAAAGAGCATTTCAGGGGCAACCAGGGGAGACCCGTGGGACCCTCTCCTGCCACAAGGTGGCGCTCTCCGGACCCTTTAAACGGTTGGGGGGGAGGGGCTCCGTGGCTCAGCCGGGGGAGGAGGGGAGAGGCCGGGGTGACCTGGCGCCTGCCGTGTCCCGCACAGCAGCAGGTGACGGCCAAGCCTGAGACACCCAGGCAGAGCCACCTGCACGTCCTCACGGTCCCATCCAGGGGTGAACCCATCCCGGCAGGGGCAGGGGTGGGGGACCCGCAGACACCCCCAGCGCAAGACAGAGGAGGTGCCAGAACAGAGCGCCTCGGTGCACGGCCAAGGGCACAGCGGCGGCCACGGACACGGCACAGACACGGCACAGACACGACACAGCGGCGGCCACGGACACGGCACAGACACGGCACAGACACGGCCCAGCGCCAGCCACCCACGGACACGGCACAGACACGGCACAGCGCCAGCCACGGACACGGCACAGTGCCACTGCCCACCCACGGGCACGGCACAGACACGGCACAGCGCCAGCCACCCACGGACACACCGCCACTGCCCACCCACGGACACGGCACGGACACGGCACAGACACGGCACAGCGCCAGCCACCCACGGACACGGCACAGACACGGCACAGCGCCAGCCACCCACGGACACACCGCCACTGCCCACCCACGGACACGGCACAGACACGGCACAGCGCCAGCCACCCACGGACACACCGCCACTGCCCACCCACGGACACGGCACAGACACGGCACAGCGCCAGCCACCCACGGACACACCGCCACTGCCCACCCACGGACACGGCACAGACACGGCACAGACACGGCACAGACCGCCACCCACCCACGGACACGGCACAGACACAGCACAGCGCCAGCCACGGACATAGCACAGCGCCAGCCACGGACACGGCACAGACCACCACCCACCCACGGACACAGCACAGACACGGCACAGACACGGCACAGACACGGCACAGCGCCAGCCACCGACACAGCACAGCGCCAGCCACAGACACGGCACAGTGCCAGCCATGGACACGGCACAGACACGGCACAGACCGCCACCCACCCACGGACACACCGCCGCTGCCCACCCACGGACACGGCACAGACACAGCACAGACACGGCACAGACACGGCACAGCACCAGCCACGGACATAGCACAGCGCCAGCCACAGACACGGCACAGCGCCAGCCATGGACACGGCACAGACACGGCACAGACCGCCACCCACCCACGGACACACCGCCACTGCCCACCCACGGACACGGCACAGACCGCCACCCACCCACGGACACGGCACAGACACGGCACCCACCCACGGACACGGCACAGACACAGCACAGCGCCAGCCACGGACACGGCACAGACCGCCACCCACCCACAGACACACCGCCGCTGCCCACCCACGGACACGGCACAGACACCCCTCTGCCCACCCATGGACACAGTACACACCTCTGCCCACCCACAGACACCGCACACACCTCTGCCCACCCATGGACACAGTACACACCTCTGCCCACCCATGGACACGGCACACCCCTCTGCCCACCCATGGACACGGCACACACCTCTGCCCACCCACAGACACCGCACACACCTCTGCCCACCCACAGACAGGGGCACACACATACCTGGACCTACCAGCTTTCTGTGTGTGTCTGTGTGTGTGTGCCAGTCCTAGGACTTGAACTCAGGACCTAGGTGCTGTCCCTGAGCTCCTTTTGCTCAAGGCTAGCACTCTACCACTTGAGCCACAGCACCACTTCCGGCTTTTTCTGCGTATGTGGTGCTGAGGAATCGAACCCAGGGCCTCATGCATACGAGGCAAGCGCTCTACCCCTGAGCCACCTTCCCAGCCCTGGACCTGTCAGCTTCGAGCTACCCCAAGCTCCTGACACCTGGCAAAAGACCACAGGCACTGTGCAGGGCACCTGCCTGCACCAGCTGCTCCCAAAGCAGAGGGGAAGAGCATGGGTTCGAGGCTGGCTCAGACACAGCTAAAAAGACCCTAACTGGGGCTATAAAAGGGCATGTGGCAAAAATAAAAATAAATAAGAAATGTTTAAAGGGCGTGGGGGTGCGGTGAAGCGCGGCCAGGCCTCCTGTTCCACATCTAGTGAAGGAAAAGGGGCAAAAACAAGACTTCCAGAGCAAGCCCTGGCACCTGAGGGCAGGTCGGGGTCAGGGCTCGGGGGCTGGGGGGCGGGGGTGGGCCTGGGCAGCTCGCTCCAGCCCAGCTGCACCGGGGCCAGCT